GCCCAGGCAGCGGCTGCCCTCAGCCGGGGCGACTACAGAGCCTTCGGCGCCTCATGGTGGAGAGTCACCACTCCCTCAGGGATGACTACGAGGTGAGCTGCCCGGAGCTGGACCAGCTGGTGCAGCCCGCGCTGTCTGCGCCCGGGGTTTATGGCAGCCGCATGATGGGTGGTGGCTTTGGTGGCTGCACGGTGACTTTGCTCGAGGCTTCCGCTGCTCCCCAGGCCATGCAGCACATCCAGGTGGGTGGACGCTGGGGCTGGGGCGAGGCGGGAAGCAGGTTCCCAGGGCCCCGCCGAGCTCAGGCCTCTGCCTCTCCCACAGGCACAGTATAGCGGTACCGCCACCTTCTACCTCTCCCAGGCCGCCGACGGTGCCCAGGTGCTGCCCTTGTGAGCTCCCCTGGGGTGGCCCACGCGGGCAGGGCCTGCCGGGCAGCAAGCAGGAAGCTCCGTGCCGCTGGCGCCTGCCCTCCGCACCTGAGCGCTCAATAAACTTGTGCCTCAGAAAAAAAAAAAATTAGACACATGAAAGAAGGTGAAGGGATTAGCCAAAAAAACCTATACCGGGGTGGGCAAAAGTAGTTTAGAGTTGTGAGTACATGAAACACAAAGTTTATAAAGTTATTGTCATAATAATAACTTGAATGTCTTTTCCATACAAACTACTGTAAGCCTACTTTTCTCCATCCCTGTAGGTAAAACATAGATACAAAACAGTGTGGTGATAGCGAGAGGAAAAGGAGGTTAGGGGCTAGGTGGAGGTGGGCAAAGGAGGTGGATGGAGATGGAAAGAAACTTTGCCTGGGGCGATGAACGCCTGCTGCAGTGTGCAGATGATGTTTTATTGAGTTGTATACTTGAAGCCTGTATGGTTTTGTGAACCAATGTCACCTCAACAAATTCAATTAAAAAATAGCCCAGCCAGTGGTTGAGCATGGACTTATGAACCAGGAGGTCACCGTTTGATCCCCAGTCAGGGCACATGCATGGGTTGTGGGCTCGATCTCCAGTGGGGGGTATGCAGGAGGCAGCCAATCAATGATTCTCTATCATCATTGATGTTTCTATCTCTCTTCCTTCCTCTCCAAAATTAATAAAATATATATTAAAAAATAAAATTAGAGAACTAGAAGATTCATTAGGTCTCATTTTTTTCTTTAAAATTTTTTTATTGATTAAGTTATTACATATGTGTCCTTATCCCCACATTACCCCTCATCCCCCCACTCATGCCCTCACCCCCCTGTTGTTTGTGTCCATTGGTTAGGCCTATATGCTAGCATATAAATCCTTTGGTTGATCTCTCCTCCTTAACCCCACCCTTTAATTATAGCACTCTTAAGTTCTTTTAAAAATCCATATCCAAGGATATCTTTATTGATTTTTTGAGAGAGAGAGAGACAAGGAGAGGGAAAGAGAGACAGAAACATCAGTGTGAGAGGAAAACAATGACGAGCTGCCTCCAGTAGGTTATTGAACCCGCAACCTTTTGGCTACAAGATGACACTCCAACCAACTGAGCCACCCGGCCAGGTGTAAGTAAAGTTTTCTTTACTTACAATATTCCTCTCAGAGAAATGCTGAATATATTTTCTTCATGCAGAAAATCTTTTAAAATATTAAGAAGGCACCGCAAACTTGAGAATAATAGCAAGCATTGAAAAACGTTGGCTGCCCTTTAGAGATAAAGGACTGATTGCATTTTGCCCCACATTATGTTAGAACAGCATTTTATCATTGCATCTTGCTTTGATTGATATTAGGCAGCTGTCAGCATGGACATGTGGTATTTTCCTTGACTGAAAGCAGACCACATGAGCCTATAATTTAAAACATTCAAACAGGAAGGAATTGTGGTTTTCACAATGGATGGTCAAAAGGTCAGGTTGGTGATGGAGCTGTCTTCTGAGGATTGTTACCATGGTTACCAGGGCTTCACTTGCAGCATTTAATGGAGAGCCAAATGCTTCCTGCTGTGGAGCAGCTGAGGTGCTCCGACAAGGGCATGACCTGAGGCTAAAATGATCAGACAGAATTGAGATAAGGGATTGCCTGTAAAGCTGTAGAGTCAAATGCTGTCTCCTAGAATTCTGCAAAGACCAATAAATCAAAGGAAGCAGGACAGGTTGCCTGGAGTGAGATCAGCAACCAGACATTTTACTAGGCCTCATTGATACTAAAGGCCATAAAAAACTAAACTATGCTCTGTACAATGTTTTTATCTGTGTCACACTAAGAGCTATATTTTCTTTATCCCGTTGAATCATGGGTTCTCATCAAGCCCAGTTTGTTAATTTCCTCGTTGACATCCCTGATAGAATACTCAGCTAGGAATTTCAGAGTCATTCTTAAGTTTTTACCCATCCTCTGTGGAGCTAAATGTATGGACTTTTAACTTTCTACCTGGCTTCATATGCATTATTTTATTTTGTCTTCTTAACAACCTTATGAGGTATGTATTGTTTTTTTCTCTATTTTACAGATTAGGAAACTGAGCCAAGATTTGAAATGACAGGTCCAAGTAATCACAGGTAGTAAGTGGTGAGATTCTACCTGGCTTCATATGCATTATTTTATTTTGTCTTCATAACAACCTTATGAGGTATGTATTGTTATTTTCTCTATTTTACAGATTAGGAAACTGAGCCACAGATTTGAAATGACAGGTCCAAGTAGTCACAGGTAGTAAGTGGTGAGACCAGTATTTCCACCCATGTCTGTCTGACTCTATAGCACATTTTCTTCCAGTGTACCAATCAATGACCAAATCTCATGACTTCTACCTCCCTAATATTTCTTGATCCATTTGCTTCCCCATTTTTCCATGGCCACTGCTTTAGTATAGACCTTTATCAACCTGCACCTGGATTTTTGCAAAAAGTCTGCTACAGGTATATATTTATCTCCACAGATTGCCCTACCAATAGAGTGATCTTTACAAATGCATCAAATACAAATCTGATCAAGTTACTCCTCTGCTTAAAATCCTTCAAATATACATACTATAAAGTCCAAACTCTTTAGCCTAGCAACAGCATTCTTTACAATTTAACTCTTACTTGTCTTTGCTGCCTTGAGTCATTTCTTGCCACCTTTCCTAAGAACACCCTCACTCTAATCACCCAGTACACCAACGTCTTGCCCTTTCCTGAACATAACATAGACTTCTACTCTTTCATGTGTTTGCCATTCTAGGCTCCACACATCATGAAATAGTCAGTAATGCCAGGGTACCTTACCTTGTTAGGGGTAGGGTGAAGAGGGCATAATTTATAGTGTAACATAGGAGAAAAAAACACAGGGATTTTTCTTTGTTGTTTTGCTTGTCCACTTGTTCAGAATTAAAGAAAAGCCCTTGAGTGGCTGAGACACTCCATTAACTCGTGTGAAAGCTTAGAGCTGCTACAAAGCCCACCCATTGCAGAGCTAGGCCTCAGAAGCTGCCTGCACACCAGTGGGTGCGCCTTTGCAGAGCACCTGGTGGACGGAGGCACAGTGATGAAATACTTTTACGTTCAGCAGTAGCAGGTCTGAGCAGAAGCATTCAAAAACCAGTCACTAAATGTATACAACTATGTACATGTGTTTATAAAGCATTCCTTAAAATATTTGCCAACCCATTCTATTTCAGTGAAATATGAAAACTTTATCCTACCATCTATTCAAATGTAAATGTAATTTGTAAGCAAAGATATTTACATTTATTTATAGAAATTTTATGTTTCTCAAGTTGTGTAATTCTAACAGTAAAACATAAACTTTGACTATTATTTTATAATATTTGCTCAATGATATTTCTTTACAATATATATTTAACTTATACCTTGACTGATTTTGTCACCCCAAAAGCTATTTTTTTAAAGTAAAACTTCAGAGATGATAAGTATATGTAAATCTATCTTGCCATTTGCTCTCTGAAAGTGAGAAAGACACAAACTAAATTAGTTTTGTGGAAATTTTAATTGTTTCTATGTGATTGCCCTGCCTGTTGAAAGAAGAAATAGACACCTTGCTGTTCTTCTATGGCTTTGGTTCACCAGAGAGTTTAGTTTAGTTTTGGGTGCACTGTCATAACCTAGGAAAGATGATAATTTGATACATATTGCAGCTGAAGTAGTTTTGAAAACAACCAGAGCGAAAACATGTGTATGCAATGCAAACTTTCTATAGAGTTGGTGTTGGGAGTAGAAATAGTATCGCTGCTATTGATACAAATCATAGCCTGCTTGGTCTTTTCTTTCTATTATGAGATATGATTCTAACATTAGTTCATCTATATCAGCAAGATTCAGCAGTAAGATCCCTCCTGCTGCGAACTTTCTATATTACAAAGGAATGAATATTTTTTAAGCTGGAAGTGTGACATTACTGAATTTATTGAACTTAAATGCTTGCCAGTTCTTAGGACTGTAACACCTTTTCCAAATAGGGTTTCTAGTTGTATGTTGTTGTCTCTTAATCTAGAGAGATGATTCTATTAACATGTTCATGAGAGAGATTTTGAAATTATTGATTCTTATACATATAGAATCCTTATTAAAAGAGAATGCAATTCTTGGTAGGAAATATGGATTTATTTTAAATGTTTTTTTTTTCTGGAGTGTTTCTAAGACACTAGGACATTATTTTCTGTCCTTTGTTGGCTCCAGTCCCCATGCACCTCACCCAGGGGCCTCTTGATTGCTGGGATGAAAAAACATAGCTCTGAGCCTGCAGTAAGTTGCTGAGCCCACTGTAATTTATCACTTGATTTATTAATACCAGGTCTTAGTTCTGAGCTATTCTTTCAGCAACATTCTTCAAGAAGACTTGATCCCAGGCCAGCTCTCTACATAGGCAGAGGAGATAACTGCTCTATGTATTTAACTAAAAAGCTTGCCTAACCCTAAATTAAATTTATTATTAATAATGAGAATGCAAATCATAAGAGCTAATCCTATATAAAAAAAAGCTAATATGCAAATTGTCCCCTCCGGAGTTTGACCAAGAGACCAGGAATTCAATCGCTCGTTATGATGTGCGCTGACCACCAGGGGGCAAAATGGAACATGGTGGACAATCAGCAGCAGAGGCGGTGGGGCGCTGAGGGAGCGAAGGAAGGAGGAGGCAGGGAGGCGAGGAGGTGGGGAGGTGGGGAACCTGATTGGCCCTGATTGCTGGCCAGGCCTATGAACCCTACCCATCCATGAATTTTGTACACCGGGCCTCTAGTACTCCTATAATACTTATTACATGCAAACTATTGGTCAAGGTGCTTTATGTGTGTGTGTGTGTGTGTGTGTGTGTGTGTGGTGTGTGTATATAATATGGTAATTAATAAGTAATAATACAAGAATAAACTGTCACAAACTCACAATTGTAAACCTATTTTTGCCCCCCCTGTGTATATATATATAAAAATATATTAATCCCTACAACAACTTTAAGAGACAGGTATACCATTATTATTCTGTTTACCCATGAGAAAACTGAAGAAAGCACAGAGATGCTAAGAGTCATG